CTTATGCTCCATTTGCTTCAACCACTCAAAACGAAGAAAAAAAAAAGAAAAGAAAAAAAGCGATCCTTCCAGAGCCGACTGTTGTACCAGGAAGCAGCGATTTAAAGATAATCAGTGGCCAAAAACTCATAAAAGTGGATAAAACAGACATTTTTCACGGTGGAATCTGACTGATAAAAACTTTGGAGCTTAATCCAGGACCAGTTTGTGGATAAACATCGAGTCAAGAGCCGCGGACGTTTTTTTCCTTGTTGCACTCCCCGGGGAAGGAATCCCATGCAGTGACGTATGCTGGAGCGGGAGGGCTTTCCCAGCAGCGATTATAAAAATAATCGTTTGTGGCAGCCCTAGAGAGAACCACCATGCTTGTAGATTGCTGGGTTCAAGGGTGTAAAAAAAGCAATAAATAAAGCAAAGTTTCATTAATGTTGTTATATCCCGAGGATTAAAAGCAGCGAATGTGAGCTAACTTTGTTTCTTAGCATCGAGCGTCAGCGGGTGCAGCTGGCTCATAAACAGAGAAAACACACTTCGGCTAATACTGCACAGATTTGCTCTGAGCTGTTTTTTAAGCAGTAAGGACAACTGAAAATGTTTCTAAAAAAACTGATCCGGACTCGAATGAACACCAAGTGATCACATTTAAATATGCATTTCTGTAAAAATGTTCATGTTGATTTGAATTTGCATTCATGCTAATTCATGCTAAATCTAAAGCAAATATGTTACCTACATTCATGGATAAAACACCTGTTTGCCTGCCTCTGACCAGAGCTTTGATCTTCAGTTTTAGCAGTGGTGGGCAGCGCTAATCCAAAAATTAGCTCCGCAATTTCTAAAGTGCTTATGAAAATATGTAGGACCACAACTTCAGAAGCGCTTACGCCATAGAAAAACTATAAGAAGCTAATTTTTAGGGATGAGCGAGTACACCACTATCTGTATCTGTTCAACCATCTAAGTTATCTGTATCTGTATCTGTACTCGGAGTGGGCGGGGCCTAAACCGGATGTGGGTGTGGCTTAACCGGAAGTTGGTGGGGCTTAAATCTGTACATTGTTTAAAGTCTGAAAATGATATGGATTGATCAGAAGTTTCTATATGTATTGTTTATTTGAATGTTATTTACAGAACAGCTTCAAAAATGAGATTCAAATCAATGTTTTTAATCACAAAAGTTAAAAAATAATTCATGTTCTGAGTTTAAAAAGCTCGTTCTGT